CAAAGGAGAAAGAGCTAGTGATCTGTTCCGGTAAAAATTCCAGCCTAACAAAGATCATGGAGCAGTTCTTTAATCAATACTTCCAGAGCATAGGACTAAAATTCAAACCCTGGTAAACCGAAAACCACACCCACCGTCATTAAGTCAATTCCAACTCACAGCGATCAGAGGGTTTCTAAGACTATAAAACATGACAAGAGCAGGCTGCAGGTCTTGAGGGTACAGCCTGACACCTAACCCACAGTGCACCAAGCACCAAGTTTTCTTCAAACACGGTATTTAGCTAAGAAGCTGCCAAATAATTCAGAATATCCCTGTATTCGAGGATATTGAAATATGCTTACCTGTATAAGACAGCTCGGTCCACACCAAAAGCTCCCACAATTAAATCTGAGGAGAGAATGTAAAAACATGTTAATAATGGTTCCTGAATTCATATGTCACTCTATAAAGCCCCCAAAGCATAAGTATTTAGTTATATTCTTAAAACTATACTTCACTAAGTGGTTCTAAGAGGGCATCTAAAAGGATACTTTTCTGTGAAAATTATTAATAACAAAAGTTTACTGTAAAACTAGGCTTTCATACAAGAGATGAGGTTCTTAAATATGGCAATTTAACAAATGATAACCACTATAAGGAAGTACACACCTCCCCCAACAAACACAGTCACAACCAAAAAAAGTTTTATGAAGTGGTTTTATAATTTCAAGACATAAAATAAAACCAAAATAGGGCAATACGAATACTTTAGAAAGTCATAAAAAATACACATACATGCAAATCACCAAAATTGCTTACGTTCACTAACCATCAAAAATTAAATTAAAACAAAGTAACAGTTCCTACCTAACATACAGTGTAAAATTACTCTGAAATACACCAAAGTGGCACTCAGGAGTCCAAGTTTGGGAAAATGATCACTCTTACGTCTTCCTGGTGAATGTAAAAACAGTTCACAAAACCACCTTTTGGAGGAGTGGAGATGTAAAGTGATAATGTATGTTAACGGCATTTTAAAAATACATACTGCCTCCATGAACAACTGCCTCCTTTGCCGCGAGGCGAGAACTAGAGTGGTGTCTGGCTCCTGTCTTAATATTTTGATTAAAGATTCCGGAGAAGAATCCCGATCAAAAGGGGGAAAATGCACACCAGAATTTTAAATTCTCATGGACTCTAGACTCTTCAGAGCCAGGTGGATAAACCACTGAAAACTATTGCCCTGAGATGACCTTTTTAAGTCTTAAACCAAAAATATTCCCTGAAGGCTTCTTAAAGCCGAACACCATTTAAGCTTAACTAGTAAAAAACGTTTGCCTTAACCAGTGTCCTCTTTTGATCTACAGGAACTTTAGAGGGCACTGAGTGTATGCTAACGAGGGAGAAACCACTCAGGAAAGGAGGGTAAGTATAGTTGTGCAACTTAAAGAATATAATGTCACTACATTATATGTGTAGAAACTTGAATTGGTGCATATTTTGCTGTGTACATCTGAACAAAAGACTATCTAAAGAAAAAAGGGATATCCTTGGACACAGCAATTTTAGACTAGTGTCCTAACAAAATTACCAGAGGTCTGCATTAGAATTATATACTAGAATATAAATATCCAACATGGCTAAGTAAGATATGACATTACCCCATGTGAGTGGGCAACTAACAAGTGGAGATGTCTGATATTCTAAATGAATATACCGTACATACTCGAGTATAAGCTGACCCGAACATCAGCCAAGGCACCTAATTTTACCACAAAAACTGCATTAAAAACTGTGCTGAACACCAGCCTACCCCTACTCGCTCGCTGAGGACAAAGGGGGTGCATTAGCAAAAGTGGGAAAGAAAGCAGATGGTGCCCGACTATCAAATGATACAGCATCTGGGGTCTTACAGGCTTGAAGACAAACAGACGGCCATCTAGCTAAGAAACAACAAAACCCACAAGGAAGAAGCACACCAGCCTACCCCAACACGAATGCTGAAGACAAAGCGGGTACATGAGCAAATACGGTGAGGAAAGCTGATGGTGCCAAGCTGTCAAATTACTCAGAATCTGGGGTCCCACATGTTGGAAGATAAACAAGGGGCCATCTAACTGAGAAACAACAAAGCCCAATTGGAAGAAGCACACCAGCCTGTAAGATGACAAGGCGGCTAAAGGGTCAGGTATCAGGCATCAAAGAACAAAAATCATAACATTGTGAATGAGGGGGAGTGCAAAGTGGGGACCCAGGGCCCATCCGGGGGAAATTGGACATCCCCTTGCAGAAGGGTTGCGGGGAGGTGAGGAGCAAATCGGAATGCAGTGTAGTAATGATGAAATATGCAATTTTCCTCTGATTCTTAAATGCTTCCTCCACCCCACTACCATGATCCCAATTCTACCTTACATATCCGGCTGGACCGGAGGAGGTGCACTGGCACAGATAGGTACTGGAAATACAGTGAACCCAGGACAGATGAACCCCCAGGACCAGTGGAGAGAGTGGCGATGGCGGGAGAGTGGAGGGAAGGTGAGGGAGAAAGGGGGAACAGAGGACAAGGTCTACATGTGGCCTCCTCCCTGGGGGACGGACAGCGGAGAAGTGGGTGAGGGACACGTGGGATGGGGTAAGATATGATAAAATAATAATAAATTATAAATTATCAGGGGTCCGGGAGGAGCAGGGAGGGGGGGGAAATGAGCTGACACCAGGGGCTTAAGTGGAAAGTAGGTGTCGTAAGAATGATGAAGTCAACATATGTACTAAAGTGCTGGACACAGATGATGTACGTACAGATTGTGATGAGTTGTATGAGCCCCTAATAAAATGATTTTTTTTTTTTTAAAACTGTGCTGAAAAATTCAGCTTATACAAGAGTATATACGGTACTAAGAACAGTGAGTACAATTGATGTGTGTATGGATTGTGATAAGATTTGTAAGAGCCCCTAATAAAATGATTAAAAAAAATAAAATTAAAAAAAAAGAACAGTGAGTATACTATGAACATATTATGAATAAGCTATGTAAAAAAACAAAAACAAATGTGTATACATGGAATTAAGACTAAAAAGAGAAAGCATTGCTATATATCTTTAAGTTCTATAAGAACTATTACATTTATAATAATTTTTGAAATGCACCAAAATCCCACTTTTTATAAATAAGAGAATTAACGTTAGGCATTATTTCTAGAAGCACTTCAAAATACTTATAAATATTAAGCCCACATTAACTTTTTCAACAAGGATAATACAGATCTTTTGCATTATATTCATTTAAAGAAGAGAATTCTTCATTCCTATATCCTTTACGATACACTAAAGTGAAAAGAAACCAGAAAAGGGTCTAGCCTTTTCTAACTAACTCAAACATGAGGGAAACTGAGCAAATTGCCTTCCTCAGTCTCTTGACTCCTCCAAAATTGGTACAATGATATAATTAATTAGCTTATATTTTTTATGAATAATCCTGGGATGATTCAGAGAAGCAATGCATATATTTAAAATATTTCAAAAGGCCACAATGATCCATTAAGGAAAGAGAGCTGTCTTTGCTTTGTATCTCCTGCAGTGATGAGAACATGGCCTTGAATATGTTGGGGCCTTGATCAATACTTGAAATACTAAATTGATATTATTGGCTAACAGCTGAAAATCTGATATCGATATACCTGGATATCCATTTTTGTCTATATCTGTTGCTCCTTTCATTGAATAGCCAAAGCTCGGTGGCATGCTACGAGAAGCCCAATGGCCTTCAAGAATTTGAGAAGGTACTGCATTCAAGCCCGTTGCTTTTCCATTGAAGATATACACAATTCCTTTTTTATCTTCACCCCCATATGGGGCAGCAATTGCAATATCTGAAAAAAAATTCGCAAACGAAATTTTTACCCTTTTTTAGGCTTTGAAAGTATAACTTTCTAAATGGATATGTACATTAAGAATGTGTTTATTAACATACTATTCCCAAACAGAAGATGCCTCTAGTGTGGAAAGACTGTCTGAGGAAAATCACCTGTACCTTTTCTAAACCCTTCATTCTTTTGCACATTCTGACCTCCTCTCACGGGCTATCATCTATCTAATAAGGAGAGCCCTATGTCTTCATGCAAACTAGTTCTTCCTTCAAACATTTTAAGTGCTATTTTCTGGGGTTTCTGCTTCGTCTTCATTTTCCTTTCTTTCTTGAGAAGTAGTGACCAGGACTACACATATCCACCCCGAGGTTTACAAAAGTGAGTAAATTAGCTTTATTTGTTTTGTTTTTTGAGTCCCCCTTAATGTTACCTAGTGTTTGTTGCTTATAATGCAAACTTACAATGTTTGGAGGAGATGGAATTGGTGCAATCTAGGAGCAACAAAGGGTTAAAGTCTTCAGGTTTGGACAAGAGCGGATACAGCTCATTACTAAGAGCTTATTATCCCTAGATACATAAGAGCAGCACCATGAAAGACATCTTCACAGTCGACTATTTGGGCAACAGGAGCCCTGGTGGTATAGTGGTTACTTATTTGGCTCCTAACCTCAAGGTCAGTAGTTCGACCACCAGCCACTCCCCAAGTGAGAGGTCTTTCCACTCCTATGAAGAGTTACAATATCGGAAACCCAGCTATGAGTTGGCATCGACTTGATGGCAGTGAGTTATTTGGGCAATGAGATCCAAGGAGAAACCATGGAAGACCACAAGTGGCCTCTATGGCATCCCTACTGCACCTCTTTATAAAACAAAACAAACAAAAAATTCACTGCTATGCGGGTCTATTCTGACTCACAGCTGACACTGTAAAGCTACCCTTGTGGGTTTCCAAGGATATAAATCTTTACCAGAGCAGAAAGCCTCCTCTTTCTCCCAGAGAGCCTCCTCTTTTTCCAAAGTAGTAAACCAAAACACCACCAAGGCTTTGTAAAATCTCTATAAAAACCATGATATTTTTCTTATTATTTATATGTTGTGATGGCAAATAACACATCTTAATTTCTTTACAAGAAAGCAGGATGAGGAGCAGCTTGGAACATGCCAGCGAAAATTTCTTCAAAGTGGATAAAATATACCCTAGACAAAACCCAACACGCCAGAAAACCTCCCTCAGCAAAAACCAGGAAGGTAGGCTGAGCAGGTACAGAGAAGTCATTCACTTTACTCAGGGCTACAACTCCAAATCTGACTCTCCATTTCCTAGGGTGCGTTTGTTATTGATAAATGGTTTGGTATTATTTTAAATTTCTACTGTTACCTTTATACTTCTGATGCATATGTTTTATGCTAAGTTCTCTTGATGATAAAAAATGTTAAGATTCTATTTAGAAATCACAATGTCACTTTGAGTAGTATTTCTAACACTGAAAAATACTAAAGTTTAATCTTAGAAATGGCGTTTTTAGTGTATGCCACAAAACAATCTAAAGAGGCAGGAGTATAGTCTTGGCAAACAAACAGTCCTTTCCATAACAACGATTTGTGGTTCTTGGAGTTATCCCTATGTATTGATCATTACACAAACAAACCAACCATTAAAAATTTCCATTCCGTGATCTCTACAAAGTTGTTCAATGGTATTTTTTTTAATCTTGGTGAATCTGAATTTCACATTACAGATTTATAATAAAAGTTGACTGCTTTTAAAGATGCATGCAGTTATTGAAATGGAGCTATGGGCTTGCATCCTGAACATGTATGCTTTCCATAGGGAGATATAAACTCCCTCAGAATAATTTAGGCAACCCGATCGAAGTGAAAGCTTTAAAAGTATTCATCACAAGTCAACTCCACTACCTTTGAGGTATGTGTGAGACATACCTTAGTCAAGACTGCCCTGGACATTGTGTTGAGCGTTCTTTTACACTGCAGCACATTGGACAGCAGAGGGCACTGCCACTAAGCAGGGCACACTCATAACCAAAAACTCGCTGCCACTGAGTCCATGCCAACTATAGAAACTCCATGGGACAGGGCAGAATTGTCCTGTGGATTTCTGAGACTGAGGCTGCAACTCTATGGGAGTGGAAAGACTCATCTTACACCCACGGAGCTCCTGGCAATTATGCACCTCAGACCCTGTGGTTAACAGCCCAATTCATAACCACTACGTTACCAGAGCTCCTTCAGAAGGACATATTCAAGACACAGAAAATTGCTAGTTAGACAAGCTGAGTCCGATTGGAAAAGTAACTATTCCAGTGCTCAAATTTGGATACAACTAGAAACAATGGTGGGGATGGAGAGACAAACATGCCTTTGAACCGATGTTTCCCCTATCCTTCTTTCCAGAGAAGCTTCTTCTAATAAAATCCTATAACAAAGTTTCCAGGCCTTTCCTAGGTGGGCATAGATAATCAGGGACCCCCAGTTGCTGAACCTTGATCTTACCATTGTAGCCATCCTGGTCCAGATCTCCCAAAGGTGCTATAGCGCTGCCAAACCTTGCAAAGACCTCAAACCCATTCAGCTTTGTCGTTTGGAAGTCTCCTGAAGCTCTTTGCAGAGACACGGAGACCTGACCCACCTCCTGGAGTTTGCCATCAGAGCCCCGGTCCATGAAGAGAGGTGCACCAATGAACACATCTGCATAACTACAAGAACAGAGTGTTCTCACCAAGCAATGGAAACACCGTCTGATGATTAACAAGCACTCAGTTTCCCTCTCCACATCTTTCACAGGCACCCCGAGTATCAAACCGTTACCATGGCAATTGTTTCCAATTCAAGCCTTAACTTTTTCTTGAAAGTGAAAAGGCTCATTCACAAAATAGTTCTACTCTTTGATGACATAAAGGCTGAAAATATATCCAACTTAGAACCAAAAAAGTCATTGTCTAATGCTATTGATTAAGGTCACTATGAATTTGTTTCTTAAATAGCAACATTAGGATGAAGGGAACAGAGAAATAAAAGGGGAAATGTTTAGTGTCAGTAAAATGTTCATACCTAAACACAAGAGAAACCGTATCTGGGAGCATTTTTGAACACTTACTCATCCCCGTTAATGTCAGTGGCAGCTACAGAAAATCCGAAATATGCAGCCATCTGGATAACAAGATGAAAATGAAATGTTTACTTTTCATTAGACAAATTTAGACAATTAACATTTATAGTCCATTTATCAAATAATGTCTTTTGTTTTTCCTTTAGCATATAGTCCTTCCATTTAAATTTCTTCTCTTTTGGTCATTCTACCAATAAAATGACAATCAAACCTGCTTATTCCCCTGGATGTATGGGAGAAGCATAGTCCATATATATCATTCCACTATCTTCAACACAGACCACTTAATGGCAAGGTGAAAAAATCAACTTCCCTTCCTAGGGCTAGTCTGTTATCTCCTTCCTCTCCACGACCCCAAACACTCCAACACCAGCAGATACACCCCAATCAGACCTGTCATGGCAGACAGACATTTAAACCAAATGTAAGAAGTGATTATGAATAGCTGTGAGACACAAATAGATAACAATCATTCATAAAACCCAACGCTGGCTTTCCTGTGTAGAACTATGACCACTCTAGAGAAATTTCTGTTTGAAAAAGTACAGAAAGGAAGCAGTTCTTTATAGCTCAATCAATTCCTTGCCAGTTATTGGCTTTTGAATTACACGGAGTAAAATGTGTTTTGAGTTTACACAGGCTTATTGTGAGATGTCCTCCCCGGACCACAGTAGTCTGCTGACCATCAAGGACACAGGAGACTGGCTAGAAATAAATATGAAAAGGAAAAAGTTCCAAAGAGACCCCAACAAGAAAAAACAAAACTAGGAAAGATAACAAATTAAAGTTGAACCAAGGTAAAGAATGATACAAAAAATAAATAAAGTTAGCAGTTTCTAAAATTTGACTGGCAGAGCTACCAGGAAGGAGTAACAAGGGAGATTCCTACACCTTCTACTTTGATAGCTACCATGTGGTTGAGAACACAAAAGGCATATTCCATACTCCATCACAAATCAGAGTATGTAATAAAGTATGCTGTGCCTGGAACACCAGGTTGATTGGAATTTCACAGAATCATATTCTTGTTCCTGAGTTAAGGTGTTTATGCTGAAAGTATAAAGAAAGGATGACATCTACTGGGACACGCTTTATCCTGGACACTACGAAGGAAGTGCTTTCATCTGATCCTCACAACCACCTCATGAGAAGGTTAAACATTAGCCCTATTTTTATAAATAAGGAACCTGATCTACAGTGGCAATTGCACTGACAGACTGGATACAGGGAGCCCTGGTGTGTCCTAAGGCAAAGCCCTTTCCACCACAAAATGGCTAAAGAAAACCAGAAAAGTTTACAAATGGCCCAGAGTCTTGCACGTAGTCAACAGACAGAAGTTGTCAGAGGTGAAGAAGTCTCAATGGCATAAAAGGATCACCACCATAACGGCAAGCATAACTTCCCTGGCCATGTGCAGGCCATTCCATGCTGGACATCTACCTGACTGATCTAAGTGGGAAGGGCCCCCTGGGGCCCATCCATCCAGTTCCCCATGCTGGCAATCCTCTCCTAAAACCTTATCAATCTACAACCTTGATTTGTTTTTCTACGTTATCATTACTAACTTCTCACTTATTTCTCTGGCACACACAATACAACATTTTATGAAATGCCCATACTTACAGAGAATACCTAGTACATCTTAATAGGAGAATGTGCTATTTTATAAGGTCATATACATAAAGTTTGTTTGTAATCCCTGCAACATTTATAGCTGTGCCATTCTTTATCACAGAGCTACTGAGAGTAACAACACACACACTCACTGCCATCAAGTCCATTCTGACCCACGGTGACCTATTTTTTCTTCTTTTTTTTAAAATCATTTTATTGGGGCTTATCCAAATCTTATCACAGTCCATACATCCATCATGTCAAGCATATTTGTACATTTGTTGCCCTCATCATTCTTAAAACATTTGCTTTCTACTTGAGCCCTTGGTATCAGCTCATTTTTCCCCTCCCTCCCCGCTCCCCCTTCCCTCACAAACCTTGATAATTTATACATTATTATTATTTTGTCATGTCTTATACTGTCTGACGTTTCCCTTCTCCCACTTTTCTGTTGTCCATCCCCCAGGGAGGGGGGTATATGTAGATCCTTGTAATCAGTTCCTCCTCTCTACCCTACCTTCCCTCCACCCTCCTGGTATCGCCACTCTCACCAATGGTTCTTAAGGGATCATCCGTCCTGGATTCCCTGTGTTTCCAGTTCCTATCTGTACCAGTGTACGTCCTCTGCTCTAGCCAGATTTGTAAGGTAGAATTGGGATCATGATAGTGGATGGAGGAAGCATTTAAGAACTAGAGGAAAGTAGTATGTTTCATTGTTACTACCCTGCACCCTGACTGGCTCATCTCCTCCCTGCGGCTCTTCTGTAAGGGGATGTCCAGTTGCCTACAGATGGACTTTGGGTCCCCACTCTGCCACAGTGACTCTTTCAGACAGGGCAGAACTACTGCTATGAGTTTCTGAGACTGTAACTCCTTATGGGAGTAGAAAGCCCTCTCTTTCTCCCATGGAGCTGGCTAGCAGTTTCAAACTGCTGACCTTGAAGTTAGCACCCCAACAGGTAACTTCATCATCAAAGAAAAAGTTTCAGTGCACATCTGATTTTGTATTTACTTTAAAATACCCAAACCAAACAAAGAGCAAAGGAACCCCAGTCATAACTGGGAATCTAATGGTTTTGTTTAAACAAATTACTCTGAAAAAAAATAAACAAATTACTCTGATTTAAACAAAAAATGAAATACTTAATGCCTATCTTATATTCATAATAGTGAATATTATGAGATCATTAAACCATTATGATGTTGCTAGGAAAAATTTTAATAAGAAAATGCCAATGATAAAATGTTAATTTAAAAAGCCACATAAAAAAATCTAACACTGTATAAACTATTTTTTTAAACATACACACACACAAAAAACAAAGGTAAGCCAAAAAGGATCACTATACTAGACGTTCAGCTCATACATGCACAGGTTTACTCCAACACTCAAACAAAATGTGTTTACGCATGTCTGCAGCCAGTGGACTGCAGGGCAGTAAGATATCTAATGTACCTCTTCTAGCCAGTCTCTAACTCCCGCCACAGGAGTTAAGAAGGTGGGGGAGAGACTGATAGAATTCACCTGTGAGCATCTGCAAACAGGAGTCCCGGAATGCTATCCCATTGTGTAATAAAATGAGCTCTGAGAAGCAGGAGGGATCTCATTACCAGCAAGAGCCAGGAGTGGAACAACTCTAGACTGGAGATCCCTGCTCAGGGAACTTCCTGGATCCAAAAGACAGCTATACCATCAGAGGAGGAGCGGCAGAGAGTAGTGGAATTCCTAATCCAGGAGCAAGTCCAGCTGGGCGCTTTGCTGCATGGGGTGCCTCTGAGTCAGTAGTTCTCAACCTTCCTAATGCTGTGGCCCTTGAATACAATTCCTCATTATGTGGTGACCCCCCAACCATAAAACTGTTGCTACTTCATAACTGTACGTTTGCTACTGTAATGAATCGGTGACCCCTGTGAAAGGGTCGTTTGACCCCCAAAGGGATCGCAACCCACAGGTTAAGAACCACTGCTCTAGGTAGTTAACTGGAGAAGTTGGACTTGTTGACCCATGGAGCTTCAGTTCAATGCCTTAGGGTTGAGGCTTGTAGTGAAGTGGTATGCCCCTTGGGCACTTATTAGCAGACTGAAAAAAAATCCCAAAACTTTGTAGCATGGTCTGATGAAAACTCAACGTTTCACACTGGCATTACAGCTATTAACTTCTTTCATAACCTCTTCAATCCTGAATTTTATCTGTGAGTTCTTGGTAGCCATTGCAATGGACAGCAGAACTCAGAGAAGTGAAATAAAGGACACTAATACTCTGATTCCAACATCACACTTGTTTTAGTCTCATTAGGGTTCCTTCAAAGGAAATTCGAGTCAGAGATGTCGCTCAGAAGGTTTTGTTTCGGGACTTCCAATGGCACACTCTGCACAGGGAGTTTTGAAGGACATAGAGTCACAGGAGCTTATTGTGATGAAGTTTTAAGGTAACTGAAAATTGCACTGATGAGATAAAGGCCCCTAAAATTGTACCGAAGAGTTATTTTCCATCATGACACCATACCGGCTCATTTTTCAACAGTAGAAAGATCTGTCCTAGGAGAATTTCAGTGAATAATGATACCCCTCCCCTCTACAGCCATCAACCTGTGCCTTCAGACATCTTTTTGCTCCCAGATTCCAAAGAACATTTCAAAGGAACATGATTTGAGTTCATCAAAGATACCAAAACTTGTTTTTACGGTAGTATAAGTAGAACAGTGCTCAATTCTTCAGGAAAGGTTAACAGAATGGAAACACCACCTTTAGAAATGTATAGACCTACAACTGGGCCTCAAAGAAGGGTCACAAGAAAAGAACGAGTCAGCCAGGGTGCAGCATAGCACCAATGGAACACACAAGATTCCAATAGTTCTTTAATACTTCCTCCCCCCACTATCATGACCACGGTTCTACCTTACAAATCTTGCTAGATGGGAGCATGTACACTATTACAGATAAGAGCTCACAACACACGGAATCCAGGATAGATAGACCCCTCAGGCACACTAGTGGAAGTAGAGATACCATGAGGGTAGGGGGAAAGAGGGTAGAAAAGGGGGTAGAAAATGGGGAGAAACGGGGAACCAACTACAATGATTGAGGTATAACTTACCCACTCGGGGGGATAAACAGAAATTTGGGCAAAGGGAAACAGTAGAGCGTGTAAGATATGAAAATAATCATAATTTATCATTTCAGGGGTCCATGAAGGTGGGAGGGTGGGGGAGCGAGGGAAAAAAGAGGAGCTAATACCAAGGGCTCAAACAGAAAGAAAATGTTTTGGAAATGATGATGGCAACATATGTACAAATGTGCTTGATACAATTGATGTATGGATTGTTAGAAGAGCTATGAGAGACCCTGATAAAATGATTTATTAATAAAAAAAGAAAAGAAATGCATAGTCTTAGATGAGGGATAGGTTAAGAAATAATAGCTTCATGGGCTGATATTTTTAATAAAGGTTTCTGTGGTCTATAACAACACATTTTGGCGTAGCCTCTTACGCCAAAATTATTGATTAGCTCTGATGGAATTATAAATTAACTTTCATAATGTTCTTAATTTTCTCCCATGAATATATACTACTTTTACAATCAATGTTTCAAAATATTTTGAAAACATACCTGCTCACCAGTAAAATTGTGTAAGGAAGACATGTTTTTCCCATCATATATGCAAACCTATACAGGAAAAACCAAAAGTATATGAAAATAGTACAACATAAATTACTCTGGCAAGTTTTAAAAACCCGGTTTAACTGACCTACCATTCCCAAAGTCCGAGCTGCTCGTGGGACTCCTGAAACAAAGTCTGGAGAGAGAAAAAAAGAAAAGGAAAAACAAACCCTTAGTTTTTTATTTTATTTTAATTGCAGGAGGAAGGGGATGTGTCAGAAAGCGTTTGTTTTATTGTTTCAGTAGAAAATAAACAAGTTATTTTTGAAAAATGGTAATCCATTAAAAAAGATCCCAACATTTTGGAACCACAAGATCAAATCTTTAGGAAAAGAAAAAACAATTACTGAGGACTCAAATAAATACATGCTTACCCTCAAGGTATTTGTAATCCTGTTAACAGAAAGACTAGATAAGATACAGTGACCTAAGGATGAAGAAAAGATGTATTTACAGTATTTAAAAATAAAATAGAGCAAACTGGAAAGGAAAGATGGAGCTATGATGCAGAAATGTGGTACGAAACAGGGGCAACCTCTCATGCTGAAAGTGAGCTTGAAAAAGGCCTCAGAGCCTGAGGGGAGAGAAGAAGAATCCTGCCCCGGGAGGCAGAAAGAACAAATTATGCTAAAAAAGAGAAAATATGAAACCTCTCCAAGAGGAGTCATTTGCCAGCGCTGAGGCTGGAAGGTCGAGGGAGCAGAGAGCCTTAGGTTGACAGCAGCCTCTGTTTCAATGGCCACTAGAGGCAGATCTGCATCAAGTGAGCTCAAAATCCCGTCAATGTGCTAAGGTCTCCTTTGGAAGAGTGATTTCAAAACTACATAATTGCTGAAATACAACATGTTTCAAATGTTTAACTTAAAACGTTTTTAGAGGGATTTAATACTATTCAAAAGATTCATACCGTCTATGCCATCACCATTGAAATCACCAACAGCCACTGAGTAACCTAAACAGGCAAGAAAAGCATAGCACCATCAAGACAGGTCACTTACTAACCTTCAGCATGCTTGCTGGGGCCAACTTTCCTTGAAAATAGTTACAAGTAATTATTCTCATTGTGTAACATTTTATCTTGTATGGGGTAACCAATTCATATGTATATGATAATAAATCTTAGAGAAAATAATTGGCTCAAATGTTCTAGAAGGCTATCTCGACTAGAAGAAACAAGGATGTTTTAGTAACTTTACAAAAACCTGAAACTCCATCAACTCCCTCGAATTGATGTCAATTCATAGGGACCCAGTAAGACAAGGTAGAACTGCCCCTATGAATTTCCGAGACTGTAACTCTTCATGGGAGTAGAGCGCCTCATCTCTCTCCTAATTTTACAAACAAGGTGAAGTGGTCATTCACCAGAAAGAAGCAACCCAAAAATAACAGATTGTCTCGATCAGTAAAGTGCTATTTCTGCATTGTGCGGCTTGTTTTAATAAATAAAACCCAACAGGTTAAGAATGAGTGACATTGGGCAAATTATTTTGCCATTCTGTGCTTTGGTTTCCTCATCTAAATAGAAGTATAACAAGAGTATAGACTCACAGACTTGCTATGAGGATTATATATGCTAATTATATATATGAGTTAATGCAGATTATTATAATTATTTTATCTATATAACAGATATAATTATTTTATCTGTATAATACAGAGTATTATATATGAATTAATACAGATAAAATCTTAATCACTATAATTATATTTTACTTTAGCTGCTATTATCATTTTAAAATCATTTTATACTTTTAAACTACTAAAATGTAAGCTCCCAAATTACAATTGCATGTTCATTATATCTTTTAAAATCCTACTATTTTAGATATAAAAGGTTTTTCTACAAGCAAAGGATGCCTTCAATACAATTTTATAAAAAGAGTCAGTATTTTGTTTTTTGCTTACCCAAATAACTGTCATCAAAAATGGCTTGTGCCGACCGAGTTGCCAACTGGTTATTGTAGTTGATGCTATAAACTTTGGGGTCGTATTTGGATACAATTTCTGCTACTTGATCTGAAATGAGCTGACCTGGAAAAAAAAAATGTAGCTACAAGATAATATTATAGATGCAGGTAAATAACCTTCTCATGGAAACTTTATTATGCAGATAATGACAGACACCTACACGGAAAGAAACACGAGCATTATATATCAGTACTTCTAATTATTAACTTCAAATAATTCTCCTTTTTAATACTAAATCTACAATATTGTTGTTGTTTATTCACAATCACTTTTATTCAAAGCGTATTTAAAACCAGTCTCTGCCAATAAGCAGACATTTGAGAATTAAATGATGTGTTTTCATTCGATAAAAATCAATTATAATATGGAATCCAGGTCAGATAAACCTCTCAGGAACAGAAATGGGAGTAGGGATACCGGGAGGGGAGTGGGAACGTGGGGGTAGGAGGGGAGGAAGGAACTGATTGCAACGATTGATGCATAAAACCCCCCTCACCCACCCTCAGCCCAGGAGGACAAACAACAGAAACATGGGTGAAGGGAGGCAGCGGTTGGTGTAAGGTATGAAAACAAAATCATTTTTAATTTATCAAGGGGTACGTGGAGGGAGGGAGTCAGCGAGGAGGGAAAGAAAAAAGAGGAGCTAATACCAAGGGATCAATGAGAAAGTAAAGGTTTAGAAAATGATGGCAACATATGTACAAATATGCTTGACACAATTGATGTATTGATTGTTATAAATGCTGTTAGAGCCCCCAATCAAATGATCTTTAAAAAAATCAATTGTCATACAAATAAATTGATTAAATCAAGGGCAGTATTCAAACAATCTCCTAAAATATGAAAATTCTGCTGAAACAATAAACTACTGTGATGTCTATAACGCAAATTATTGACGGATTTTCCCAAACTAGTTACTTGGACATCTTTATAAAGCAACCTGCAGAAGCAAATGCACTTTCTTTAAAATCTAAGTTAGTAGGTAGAGAAAAAAAATTAGATAATTAAACAATCAAACTGGCTTTACCCAACCGTAAGGTTGGTTATCAAATGGCATATCCATAAAGTGGTAAAAAGAATCTATTTCTGCTGTTTTAGAAAGAAATTCATAATAGCTAAAGTTTTCGGTTGTGTTACAATTTGGCCAGTCCCAAAGGTGGAGTCTACAAGACAGAAACACTGGCTGGTTTATGGACTCTTATCCTCTCTGCCCAAACAACACTTAAGACACCATAGGAAGCCAGGTAATAGTTCTTGAATCAAAAAACAGAAAAATTCATCAGCTCTGTGAAAGGAAAACAGTATTTCATTTTCTTGATTCTTCCAAGGACAATGCTGAGAGCTATGAAAAAAACTCATTCTAATATACTATATTCAAGTTGAAACCTCCAGATTTTAATCCTGTCAAAACAAAATATTATCTGCCCAGTCACAGAGTCCTTCAGTTAGTTACATGTCAAGTTGTCCTTCGTCACTGTCAGGTGCCCTCAGTCCCGACGTACAACAGCACAGAACAGGTTCTACGACACCCTCAATCACAACTGCTGTTACGATTGAGCCTGCTGTTACGATTGAGCCCACTTCTGCAGCTACTGTGCCAGGCACACAGTACAGACCACTTAGGTACATGCAGACTTTGTGTAATACTCGAGGTATTTAAAAGAACCACTGAAACAAATGCTCACAGCTGTGTTTCTTAAAAAGACAGCGTGAAGCAACCACCATCCTGCGTTAAGAACCTTCCCTTGCCGGTCTTGGTTCCCAGGAATGCAGATCGAACACTTCCCTTCCCCCACACTCAAGGACACATCCAGCAGTTAAGAACAGTCCATATTTCATTAGAAATTATGTGGATTCCCTCTTTTCTCACATGTATTTTAGAATGGTTTTCGTTTTCATTTTAAAACAGTAAACCTCAGGGAAACTTGTGCCCAAATCATTTCATTACCCAATACCTGTATAATTCATGGAAACTCAGAAATGTTCAGTTTAGTTAGCATGCCTCATAAATTGAACAGGCTGCTGACTTTGCCGGACTTTTCTCTCTTCTTCGTTTCTGGCTTTGCCTTTCTCTTTCAACTGTTCACCTATTCCCACCTTCCATTCTCTCTCAATTGCCTTTCATCTGACTTGCCATCAGCAAATCTTTTTGTAGCTTCTCTTTCTGTGTAGCAAATGCAAGCAGAGGTTTTTCTACTGGAAATGCAAGCAAGGAAAACATAGTGTAGAATACCAAGTCAATAAAGTTGGGAAGTTTTCTGATCTTCCAAATGCTGACAATGCTGGAATACCATAAAGCTAATAAACAGAGTTATGACCCTGTAAGCAACAATTCTGGGCATAAAATAGTGTCAAAATATTAACTAAGTAAAAAAGTGTGTATCTTTAACTGTACATGACAAACAGATGAGCAAATCAGAGAGTTGTGGTTGCCTATTTGCCTTGTCAGTAAATAATGACATGTCATACATTTGCTTAAATGATAATAACTAAGCACCCCAAAATTACTGAAGTATTTCATCCTCATGTTAATGCAAATTTAATTTTTAATATGCTACACAAAATCCTTTAGATAGTCCCAAACATTTAAGGAGATCATCCGTGGTGTCGGAGACTAGTGAGAAAACAACCATTTAAATATTCAGAAGACTAACTTCAAAATACTTTCAAAATGATGAGCTTTCAGGATGCCACAATGGGACTACACTAAGTTCTACACACGTTCCAGTGCCTGCAGCATGGCCTCTACAACCCAGAGCTGGAGGAGAAGAACACTGTGAGGAAGCTAGAGATCAAAAACAAGAAGAGGCCATTTTCAACTACTTCATCAATATACTTTTAAAAAAATCAGTTTATTTTAGTACAAATTAGTAACACATATAGATGTTATACTCTTAATGTGAAAATATTGTGTTTTATTTAATGTTTATATACAGGCAGTTTCAGGAAAATGAATGACTTCCATTCTTAAGTCTGTCTTTAACTCGAATTTTTATTAAGTCAGTTAGGTATCTATCATCAGTTAGCCATGAATCTTTCTAAGCATAACAACATGAAAGCCCTCCCACATACACTATCACATCTTTAACATACTAACACAAGAATAATAATTGTGTAATGCACCACAAAGTAACTGGTTGTTATTATGATCCATTGTGTGTTCCTCAAATTTTTAATTATAATAATAGGTTTTATGGGTGTTAGGTTGTATGCAATTATATTTTCTATTTCTTTTCTTTAATTGGAAAATCTTACAGGCACCTGGTAAATCAAAATCAGAGACACACAGTTATGGAGTAGTTTTAAAAAGATGAACTTACCTTGCCAATAAAAGCTACCAGGACCTCCAAGAAGTACTCTGTCAGCCTAGATTGAATAAAAAAACAAGAAGATGCATATTTAAAAACAGTGAGTTTCAGTGGTTTCCATTTTACCTTTCCAAAAACACAATAATTTTTAAAGTTATGACAATAATTTTATATTAAAAATAGGTTCATATAAATATACAGAGATATATATATGGTCTTCAAAATAGTTCGTAGGAAAAAATGGAATTAAGATATAATAAAAGTTTCCACTAACTCTTTGAAATTCCCTCATACACAGGCTCTGTGGGTCTTAGATGCTTCACGTGCTTGATATGAAGTACTATTACCAAGTCTATTGGATTACAACGAGAAAAAAAAATCACCGCTTAATGTTGTCACATTAGGCTTATGACTATCTAGGCAAATGTTCTCTCTAAGGGATTTTCTCTTCTGTTAAAGCAACATCTGTGTCTGACAGATCTAGAGATGAGTGAAATCAGAGGGTGAGTGTTCCAGGGTGTACTGTCTAAACAAATTACACTTGACGAGCATTCCTTATATCTTCAACAAGTTAATACACAACATTTAATTGACTGAATGATTGAATTGTATGATATATGAACTATATGCTAATAAAAATGTTGAGAAATATTCAGTATAACAGCTCTTTAGAGAGGAAATTTTACTTTATATTTCTCAGTTGATATATTATTAATTCAATCTTATAACACTTAAAAAAAGATATTTAAGCATATTATCTTTACCGTATCTTACTGTTCAAAGAAAATTATTTTTCCCCTCTGAGTATATAGTTTTCAAGTTTTCAAAAGACAAATTCTTGCCTCTTACTATACAAAAGATACTTCTAAGTTACCTTAATGATACTTTAAAGATATCATTAAATGATATATATTTTTTCTTTTTTCCATCAGGAACAGGTTTAAGGACACTAAGATTTAATTAAGCAATGACTTCAGAGAATGAATATAGTTCTGAGCTTATAGTGCACAGGATTGGGTATGCAAACCAGAACATGTCTTAAAATATATACCTATTTAAAAATATAGCATGTAATTCATAATCTAATGTTTATCAATATACTTTATCTCACTGACTTCTGTAGTTTTCAGAATTATGAAAACTATATAAAAATGAATGAATTAAAGAGCAATGTTCCAGTCCTAGGAGTTACTACAATTATCAAGATATAATCTAGGAAAAAATTAATGTAAAAATTAAAATGAAATTTGAACTTTTTTAAAAAGGTAAGAAAATGCTTTATTAGTTTTTCTATATCACAAGATTATAGTTTGTTTCAAAATTTAAGACACTTCCCTTTGGTCAGATTTTCTAAGAAAGCCATATCCGAAAGGGCACTATTTATTTATTAACCAATTGATGTACTCTTGAGACTTTTCTAGGAATTAGTAATCACAATTTGACAATAATGACTCAATATGTTCATATACTCCACATATAAAAATTTTATAAAGAAAGATACTTAAGAAATTTGCCTTAGAAATAAATGATAAATGGAATTATTATTTTATAAAAATAGATAAAGGCTATCAGTTCTGAAAAGTGCATTATTTTAGTGCAAAATACACTGAGCCCTTGCATTTAGTGCTGCAGAATTGTAAGAGATGGATACAATGCAGGCTTCTCAGGTTTTCTGTAGCTAAATCTAATTTAGTAATAGAGCTCTCAAGGATAGGTTTTGTGAGATAATCATTTAGTTCAAAATAAAAAAAATTGAATAACCTACAAATTAATAGTTACCGATCATTCACTGAGTCTGTACATTTTTATCCACGGTCTGGACAACAGGTAGGTCTGAATCTCATTTCATCTCAAGAACTTACTTTAGTAAAATCAATGCTGAATCCTCCTTGACAAAATCCCTGTCCATCAGCATCAATATTTTCTAAAATAAAAAGATTGGAAATATACACAAACCCCAAAACAAACAACACAAAACAAAACATGAGAAAAATCTGCTGTGACTACAGTCAACAGATAGCATACTAATTTCTGGGACTATGATTCGTCCAGGCAGTTATCTAGTTATTACCATACTCTAAGGAAGTTACTACACACGTTTATCAGAACAAAGAAATTAAAGTACTGAGATCAGAACCATAGAACTACGGATCATATAAGAAGTCCAGTTTCAAGTATTATTTTTTTAACCACAGCCAATAGCAAGACTGCATCGTATATAGCAACATAATGCAAACAGAAAAACAAAACCATTGCCATCGAGTTGATTCCTATCCATACATAGCCCCCAAGCGTGTCACAGGAGAACTACACTACACTGGTTTCGATGGCTAGAATTTTAAGGAAGCAGATTGTCAGGCTTTCCTTTGGCCGCACTACTGGGTGAATGAGAACCACCAGATGACCATGTAACTGTTTGAGCTACCCAGAGCCTCCTATGGCGAAAGGAAGCTTCAAAATTGGTGGGAAAACGTAATTAAAACTTGTTGAAACCACTTCTTGCTTATCACCAACATAAAAATTCACCAGTTATTACCGGTGGTGCTGTGCGGTAAGCATTGGACTGCTAAGTGCAAGGTCAGCAGTTCAAACCCACCAGCCAATCTCGAAGACAAAGATAGGCCATGTGCTCCCGTCAAGTCATAGGATGTTGGAAACCCTCAGGAGCAGTTCTACTCTGTCCTGTAGGGTCATTATATGTTTGAATCAACTTAATGACAGTGTTTTTTGGAGAAAGTTTTTTTTGTTACATACAATAAACTGTTATTTCCCACTTTAGTCCATTTACTGTGGGGACCCAATACACAGGTTTTACAAAACACAAATGAATTACAATCTGTAAAGTCAAACCTCCTATCAGAAATTTCTCTATTTCCTTAGAGTTGTTATGCTTATGAACTCAGGAAGTTACATGCATTCCTAATAAATACATATTCCTAAATACATTATAACATTTAAAAACATTATACCCAAACAGAAAAAAAATGATGTAAAACAAATAGTTCAGAATTTCAGGAAATGGTTAAAACCCTAATTGAGTGTTTAGCAAACACCAAATTATGAAATTATCCTTTCAACATGTTTGGTTGTTGATTGTCACTGAGTCAGTTTTGACTCGTAATAACCCTGGCAGAAGAGAGCAAACAGGGTTTGCTAGGCTGCGATCTTGTCTAACACTACAAGGTTCGGTTCTCTCAAGCAGCAGCTGGTGGGTTCAAAACTCCAAGCTTTCTGTTCACAGGAAAATAGGTTATCATTATGCCCCTAGAACACCCTCAATATGCTCAACACTGAGTTCTAATTAAAGTGGATATCTTTAAATGCAACACTTTCAAATATTTTCCAATTAACAAATTTGATAGTTGTTTTCTTTGTAATGATTTTTTGTAGGTCTCACAGAGGAAAACTAATTTTGACTATTAGCCAATTAAATTGACTTTAATCATGAGCACTACTGTACATACAGAAGCAAAAGCAAGTAGAAAACACTCTTCTTGTATTTTTAGGAACAAGGGACAATGGAAAGCACTGTCCTTCAGCTTATCAAAAAATTCTTTCCAATGTTATAAAATATAAATGTTTCAAAATATAAAATATAAAGACAAGCTATTTGTACTTTTTTAGTGCATTTTCCACCCAAATACAGGAACCAAAAGTATCAATTTTCAGTCAAGAGAAGGGCAAACCTCCAAGAATTTTTGTCAAATATTCCCATCAAAAATTTGAACCCATTTGAAAAACCTGGTAACTGCCCATGATGACACACTTAATATCCCATTTTAGAACATGCCCTAGAAAATAGCCTCAGGAGTGTAGCCTGACCCCAATGTAAATTTTTCTAACCAAGAGGGAGTGGGAAAATGAGGGACTGGGGTTTCCAGAGCCTAGTGAATCAGACGAAGGAATTCTCTCTCTGACCTCAAGTCAACCACGCATTTCCTTCACTCCCAGTGCATCTGGGGAGCTATTTCACTGATTCTAAACACATTCTTCTGTGATTATCAGACTGTACTGTTCGGCTAAAAATCATGATCACCCTTTATAATTTACTTATCATGAGTGTTTATACTAATTAAAGAAGTCCATGTTGGATATAACATTTCTGTGAAGGCTTGGGTGCTTATTTCTCCAGACAACGGCTGACTTCTCACCATTTTCCAAGTCTGACAGTAATATTGTGATAGCAAGAGTGCTGAATGTTTTCTACTGTGTGCCAGGTACTGGCTCAGCATTTGATGTAGCATTATCTTTTTATATCTTTAAAGCATCCTATGAGATCCTATTATGCTTCAAAATTTGTAGATGAGTAAACTATGGTTTAAGGAAGTAACTTGACCGCAGTTAAGAAGTTAATTATTAACAGGAGGTGGACCTGAACACAGCCTTGTCTACAACACTGCTGCCCTATCTTCAAACAACAATGTATTATAATTGCCTGGATAATGAACAGAAAGGGGGAAAGAAATCCAAGTAAAAACCCTAATTTAACAAATCTATGCACAAATAACATTATCAGAAAATGTGCATAGAGAGCAAAAATAGTTTGAGCTTAGAGTTGAAGGGCATTTAGCTTATAGGATTTGTGGCACAGGCACTGGGCACAGAAATACATCTCTGGAGCCCTGGTGATGGAGCAGTACATGTTGGGCTGTGATCCAAATGATAAGCAGCTGGAAACCACCAGCAGCTCTGCAGGACAGAGGCTGGGCTTTCTACTCCGACAAACAGTTACAGTCATAGGAACCCACAGGAGGTCACCGTGAGTCAGCACTGACTCGATGGCAGTGAGTAATAGACGTGGAATCATCATCTAACCAAGCATGGACACAGATATATGAGTAGTTAGGAAAAGCCATGCGCAAACATTATTAGCAATAAGGAAAATGGTGACAGACGGTAACTTTCCTTGTCTGAGTTACCCATATGGGTTGTGTTAAAAACCAACCACCCTGGGGAAAATGCAGAACAGAATTTAAATTCTCATGTTCTTTCTGGAATCATGGAGACGAGATGAACTCCTGAAATTATTGCCCTGAGATAATCTTTAAACCTTAAACCAAAAATCACCCCATCACTTCTTCAAACTAAACAAATACTATGTTCTTTTAATAAACGTCTGGCTGGGATCAAATTGACAATACAACTCAAAAGATTAGGAAGAGCCTTAGAGTTCAGTAAGTTTATGTTCATGAGAGAGGAACCACCAGGAAAGGTGGGGGTGAGGGTTGCACAACTCAAATAACGCAATCACTGACTGTACGCTGTGCATGCAGAGATAACTGAATTGGTTTATGTTTCATGGTACATACTCTCAACAACAAAACAAAACGCACTCAAACTACTACCACCACATCAAGCCAAGCAAAACATCAATAAGTTAGCAGTGTATACATACAAAACTGGTATCCCACTTAATATCAATCATTCCAAAACTCAAATCAGACTCATTGTCATCAAGCCGATTCTGATCAGAAGGACCCTGTATGAGAGTAGAACTAACCAGCCCTATGGGTTATCTCTGCAAGAGCAAAAAGCCTCATCTTTCTCCCTCAAGGCGGCTGGTGGTTTCAAACTGTTCACCTCCAGTTAACAGCCCAATGTGTAACTGAGAGATAGAAGCCCCACACTCACGCAACAGCATCACCACAGACAATTAAGAAAAAGAGACAAAACACTAATACTGTATGGATGACATCTTTGGTCCAAATTGGTGTTTACCAGTAATCAGCAAATGACTAAAATCCGAGTGGTTAAATGAATCCCATCAACAGACGGGAGAACAGGTTTTCAAATTCCTCTCTGGGCAGGATTCCCCGTTATTTGGAAATGTTTTAAAAAAGAACCAGTCACCATGCAGTCAATTCTGACCCATGGCAAGAGCAGATGTCTCAGAGTAGAACTGTGTGTTCTACTGGATTTTCAATGGCTGATTTTTCAAAGTAGCTCATCAGGCCTTTCTTCCAACATTTAGCAGCCAAGGTATTGGCCATTTGCCAAAACCCTAGAGCTTCCCTGATGGTGTAGTGGAATACATGTTGGCTACTGATGGCAAGGTCAACAGTTCAAAAACACTAGCTGCACCATGGGAGAAATGAGGCTTTCTATCCCATCAAGATTTGCAGTCTTGGAAACCCACAGGGACTATCCTGTAGGACTCTGGCCTATAGGGCAGCTAACTGGCAGTGAGTTGCTTTGGTTTTATGGTTTGTTATTTTTTTGTTTTGTTTTGTTTTTGAGCACTTCAATTTAGGTTTGTAGGTAGCATACTATTTCCAAGTTTGAGTCCAAAAGTGTGTGTGATGGAATGATTATAGTATACTGAAAGCCAGACTTATTAGGAACAAAAGCACTTTGTTTCTAGGGAGGGGTTTTTTGTGCTTTTTCTAAGATTTGAGGTTTCAAACTTATTTTATGAAGACATCAGATGGTAAATACACTAAACTTTGGGGATCATACAATATTTGGGGTGAATATGCATACCCATTACAGACAATATGTGAACAAATGGATATTGCTGGATATCAATAAAACTTTATTTGCAAAAAACAGTCCCATAGGCAATAGTTTTCTGTTCTAATCTGGATCTGTCTTACAAAATAAGGCTTAATATAATTTTTTATAATTTCTGTGAGCAAACCAAATAAATGAAACCATAATATAAAACATACTTCATATAAATACTGCCTTACTTCTTTAAAAACATGTTTAGGAAAAAAATGGTGAAGACAAAAGATGAACCCCCTCATACAATCAAAATGGAATATTGGCTCTACTGTTAGCAATGAGACAACAACAGGTTTCTTTGGAATAGGGCAGACCTGCATTCAAATCTTCAGTCAACCTACTCACTAGCACTGAATGTGGGAAATGGTATTTCAACTGTCTGAATCTGAGCTTCTGTGTCTATCCAATAAGAATGAGGGTGGTTTTGTGGTTTATGCATTATACGAGGGGGTACCCCCAAATCAGAAATAGCTCCTCTGGACAAAGTTCTCATGGTACGTATTTTTTCTGCTAGGTGAGCATCAAGCAACTTGTTTCAAGTTAGTGCACCCAGTGGCATCTCCTGGAAAGGTTCTCTCTGATCACAGTGAATTTTTTCGTGAAAGCAGTTTCATGGAAACCTCATTTTTTTGTGAGGGTAGATATAAGAGAACACACAGCTGTGAAATTTTGTTTCCTACTCAGGAAACATGCCACAGAAATTGTTGTGATGTTGAACATTGCCTACAAGGACAGCACTACAAGGACAGTACACTCAAGTGTACGAGTAGTTTCTCATTTAAAAAAAATGAAATATCGATTGATGACAAACCTCATTCTGGATGTCTGTCAACTTCCAGAACAGACAAAAAATGTCGACAATATTCATGAACTTGTGCTCAAAGACCGACAACGGACCATTGAAGAGATGGGGAAGTTAAATGGGCTATCTTGAAGCTTGGTTCAGCAAAATTTAATGGAAGATTTGGGAATGAGAAGGGTCACTGTGAAATTTGTGCCTCACGTTCTGACTGACCAGCAGAAGCATCAACTGGAAACATGTCGTGCTTTGAAAGAACAACTCCAGAGACCCAGACTTGTTTCCCAAGGTCATTACTGGTGACAAGACTTGGTACTATTCTAACAACCCCAAAAGCAAACATCAATCCAGTGCAAGACACCACTGTCACCTCGCCCCCCCACCCCAAAATCTCATCAAATGAAAGCAAAGATCAAGACAATGCTCATTTGTTTTTTTAATATGGGGGATAGTGCATTTGGAGTTCATTCCACCAGGTCAGACTGTTAATTAAGCTTTCTATTTAGAGGTTCTGAAAAGACTGCAGAACAGTGTGGGACAAAATAGGCCTGATTTGTGACACACAGGGGGCTGGTTTTGCCACCACTACAATACACCTACTCACACAGTCATCTCAGTGAGCCAGTTTTTGGCAAAAAAACAGCATGCCTCTGTTGCCCCACGCACCTTACTCACCTGACCTCGCTCTGTGAGACTTAATTTGTTTCCATGAATACAGAGGGACATGAAAAGACAACAATTTGACAATATAGAAGAGGTTAAGAAAAAAAATGAGGGAGGTGCTGTCAAGTCATCCAAACATAAGAGTTTGAAAAATGTTTCCAAGAATGGAGCTGCAGATTTGACAAATGTATTAAGTGTAATTGAGAGTGTTTTTAAGGTGATAAGATTGTTTTGTAAAAAGCATTTAAATACATAGCTTTTGGGGAAAAGCAATTCTGGCTTTGTGGGGACACCCCTTGTATAAATGGTAAATCACAATACCTTGGCACACAAGGATTACCTCATTTTTTATGGCTTTAAATGATTGTCTCGCCATTCAAATATTTTTGCAACAGAAAATGAATGCAAATTTAGCCCTTAGATTTTCCACACACTGTCAAAGGCTATATTCCCATGAGCAAAATGCAACTGTGAAGGTGGTGATGGAGAGAGCACCGTGCACTGCAGATATCACTGCCAACCTCCTCTGTGCAGTGTAGGCTATGTTTTCTGCCCAATGATTTTGCTAGATACTTGAACCCTGACAGTACCATTCTTCTGAAGTTTATGTCCAACTTACAAAAACTGAGTCAAAATGATAGGCCAGGAAAAGAAGCATTTTATGATAGTTTTCATTCATGTGATTTTTAAAAATTAAATAATCATTTTATTAGGGGCTTGTACAACTCATCACAATCCGTACATACATCATTTGTGTCCAGCACATTAGTACATATGTTGACTTCATCATTCTCACAACACCCGCTTTCCACCCAAGCCCTTGGTGTCAGCCCATTTTCGCACTCCCTCTCCGTTACCCACTCCCACTGAACCCTTGATAATTTATAAATTATTATTATTTTATCATATCTTACCCCATCCGATGTCTCCCTCACCCACTTCTCCGCTGTCTGTCCCCCAGTGAGGAGGTCATATGTAGACGGAGGTCATATGTAGACCTTGTCATCTGTTCCACCTTTCTCCTTCACCTTCCCTTCACCCTCCCGATATCGCCACTCTCTCCACTGGTCCTGGGGAGT